AGGAACTAGGCTCATTACAAACTCAGGCAAATAGCGATAAAATTTTCTTGCGGAAATTCTGTATCGAATCAAAGAAGACATCTTTATAACTTTCCAGAAACGGAAACCGCTCTCGGCCAACCGACATAACGAACTTCAGCATACTCGAATGAGCTTTCATGACTTCCGAGTCGCGAGTGTTATCTTTCCGCAGTCGATACGTCAGTAACTTTGTTTTACCTAAAGATAATCAACAACGATGATCCGACACGGCAAGAGCGCGACCGGAAGGACAAGGCCGTAGCCACTCCATCCGAAATTTCCCAAAACAAACAAAGCCCCCAAGTTCAAAATTCGAGAGCTATAAAACCATCGCTTTCTCCAAACCGAATCATCATTCAATCGACTCGTTCTCCAGCAATCAACTCCACCACAACCAACAACACCAACACCATGGCTTTCGCTGCTGTCGTCGTCGGACTTGCCGTCCTCAACCTGGCCGCCGCCATGCCCTACCCGTCCGCCAAGCTCTCCTGCCCGAAACCACCCCTACCGGAGATCAAGCCCCAGGTCATCCAGGTCGTCGCCCCCGCTCCCGTCAACATCGGGCCCCAGGCCCCAGGAGTGATCGAACACGCCTCTGCCCCCTACGAGATCAACTACTTCGGCAAGCCCTACATCGTCAAGCACAAGCAGGCCGCCGTCCTTAACGTCCTCACCCAGACCCCGGTCGTCGTCGACGAATACGCCGCCCCCGTTGTCAACGAGGCTGCTGCTCCCCCCGCCGTCATCGTCGAGGAAGTCTGCCCTGAGGTCCCCGCCCCCGCCCCAGTTCCAGCCCCCGTCTACGCACCTGCCTATGAGTATGCTGCCCCTTGCCATTAGGACGGATCTCTCCCAAGACTTTGTCGATGCCACTTCAGGTTGTGAACAAAAGGAGATTGCAATAAACGTTCCTATTCCAATGTGATTCTATGTGGTTTTGACTTTTTTTCTACATTACCCCTATCATATTTTTTTGAAAGTTTTATCTACAAAGTGACTACACTGGAAAACAACTCATTAATAAGTCTAGAGTCCAGACTCTTAAAAATATTGACAAGAAAAATTACTCTTGATTCAATCGGAATCTAGCTTAAATCAAGAACCAAGCCTCTTAATTTAAGCGGATTTCGTTTTGATTCAAGCAAAAATCCGATTTAATCAAGAGTATTTTTTCTTGTCAATGTTTTCAAGAGTCTGGACTCTAGATTCAATGTGTTTTTTTCCAGTGTACAATGAAGAAGTGCTATTTTTGGCTCGTTTTAGAAACAACGTGTGTGCCATTAATTTTCCAATGTTGAAAATTGCTTTCAGGATAAGCCAGAAATAGTGATTCTTTTTTGCAATATGTGGTCAAAATATAAGGTAATTGAATTTTGCAAAGGATTTAAAAAATTCAGAATGGTTTAGTTTCTTGTATATTACAAATATCAATGAAAAAATCAGTCAATGTCGGAAAAAAAAAAAAAAAAAAAAAAAAAAAAAAAAAAAAAACTTGAACAGCTTACGACTAATCTGCCACTTAAGGAAGATACATCCTCTACAAACATTTAGACGTGGCTGAATTTCCTCCGATTTTTTTCCTGATTTTAATAAATTTTATAATTTATCAAGTGTGGAAATTAAAGCTTGCAATTTTTTTCACAGTTAACACAAGTTTTCCTCAAAATTTCGAAAGAAAGTGAGCTTTATTTAAATCGTAGATGTTTTAATGGGAGAAAACTTTCAACGGAAAAAAAAGTAAGAAACTCTTTTAGGAAATTATTAACAATTTGGATCTTTCTTGTGAGTGCGCTTGTATGGTCACCAAAAAACTTACATTTTGTCGCAGAGAGCATTGGGACCAACACTAATTAAAACGCATATTTCTTATTTCCCAAAACACTCCTCTGGACAGCAATATAATATCTTGAGGCTTGGTATTTATTTTAATAACTTAAAATTTTTCATTGCCTACTAAGAAAATATTCCACATCCAGCAAAGAGATAACTATGTGTCTTGAATGTTAAACTTGCTTCTTTGACAACTAAAACTTTCTTGAGTCTTGGGTGAAAAATTTACATTGAAAAGTTGAGAAGTAAAAAATTCGTGAACATTTTGAAATATATGAAATAGACAAAATGAGGAAGCTATGTGCGAGTAAATTGGTGTTTGTTATTGTAAATTTTCGTGCATTGTTTGAACTTTTCCCTCATATCATTCAGCGAACGAATCTCAAGAAAGAACAATGAGCCCATCATTAATTTTTAGAATGATGCTGTGCGCATGAAGCCCAATTCACACTATCAAACTTTTCATTCAACTCTTAAATGCAACTTGTCAAATGAAATGTTGGATAGTGTGATACTGATGCGAGAAAACGACAATTTGATGGAAAATTCAACGGAAACTTGAATGTACATGACGTCACATTAAATTTCCGTTCAACTTTCCGTCCAATTGGCGCCACCACTTGGACGGAAAGTTGAACGGATAGTAATTGAAGAAAATGTGTTTGCGTTCAACTTTCCATCCAACTTTTCGTCCAATTGTGTCGGATGAAAAGTTTGATAGTCCACGGAAAAAAAGTGTCAGGGGTTATTCCCTGAAATTGTGGCACTAACCCAATTTGTTGGATGATATGGACATTTCTAATTAATTGTATCAGTACCGCAACATTTGGGTTAGTTACCTAATTTATTTGGGTACTACCATAATTAATTACGAAAATTAAATAAAAATGTCCATATCATCCAGAAACCTCGTGCTTTCTTTTTCCGTGTGTGAATTGAGCTTTAATTCGTAATTTTTTTGAAAATCTGAATGAAGGTAAGAAATTTTGAGCAAATTTGCCATCTATGCCCTCACCAAATGCTGCATGCATTACACAGCAGCGGTTGAGGAGTGGAGAGCGTTCAGTCCACATCACGCGGTGTGATGCTGGAGGACATTGAAACCTAGTTGCACTTTGATCTCCGTAGTTTTCTGCCCAATTTCTTCTCTCTTTGTCTGCGATCCTCCCGCTCTTATTTGCATCCGAAGAGTAATTAAATTGCAAGCCGCGTTTTGATCTGGAGGAGGCTCTTCTTTTATCTTCGCCCCTCTTCACGCGGGGCTACTCCATAATCTTTATCCTCTCTATGCTTTTAAACTGCCGCGGACGCATTACCGTTGTGTGTGTCCCTCCACATCCCAGCATCCTCCCCATTATCCAAACAGTATCCTTGATTCTTTTAAACTTCACTCTTTTTTTAAAACTGTTAAAGCGTCCATGGAGAACAAGTCATAATGCTTTGTCCTGCTAGTAATGTTTTAATGTTCCATGTACCAATAAGCATTGCGCATTTACAGTTTACAGCCAAAGAAATTTTAGGGGGTTCGTGAAAAGCGAGTTCCCACTCTTATTTGGACCGCATTTAGCAGAAAGGAACCGAGCCACTAAGCTATTGCCAAATTTAACAGGCCAGGTTAATTTTTTTACAAGAGAACGCTTGTGGGGATTCCTTTGGAAATTTTAAGGAATTTACCTTATACTATGCAGAAAATTCACTGAAATTTGCACGAAAATCCACCCTACCGTTTTCATGAATAAAATCCAAGTGCCAAATCAAATTTGGCAATACACTGAAAAAAATAATATGCTGTTTTAGCAACTAGGATGTCAAAAATGTGTCTGGGGATCCTAAGATGCTGCCTTTACTGCCCTTGCAGTTAACTTTACATCCAATGAATGCAAATTCAACTGCGTGGGCAATCAAAGTATCATATTAGGATCACTAGACAATTTTTTGACATCCTAGGTGCTAAGCATACCAATTTTTTCAGTGTAGTTTATGTGGCTTGGTTCCTTTTTGCTCAACGCGGTTCATTTTTCCTTTGAGCGAAGAATGTATTCAAATAGAAACTAAAGAAATTTCGTAACAATTGATAATTTTTTAGGAAAACCATAAAACTATTGCTGGAGGATGGTTGATTGACATTAATTTCATTCTTTGATCGCGAAAATCCGCTTAAAGCCAAATTTCGTCGTTTCCCCCACGAAAAAACGTAGCTATATTTCACCATTGTCTAATTTCCCCTGAGAAATTGAATTTTTACCTGGAAAATCTTTGACATTTTGAGCGGAAAATTTCAGTGCGGTTATTCTTCAGATATCATGCAAAAAGCAGAACAATTTTGGAGAAAGATTGCACACGTACTTTTGTATGAGAAATTTAATCGTCCGAGTCATTTCTATCCTCTTTCCTATCCCCCTTCTTTTTGGGAAGGGGGGGGCTGATTTTATCGGCTTATGTTCCAATCCGGAACCTACAGCAATCCAAAGATTCTAATTAGTGTCCGTAGACATCATCGCGGGATTGGTACATGAATCCATGCTCTATAGGCTTTCGAATTACAGGGATTAATATCGAGTAGAATCTGTCATTGCAGATCTACTCGTTAGTTCCGTGAAAATTTGTCGCTACTACAGGGATTCATACCGGGGCCTCTCGACCCAGAGTCAAACCCGCTAGGCCAACCCGACTGGCTTAAGGCCCAGAAACACCTGCGAGTTACAAGCGCTTGTTGAAAGTGAAACATCAACAAGCAAGGAGGATTTCGATAACCCGACGTCACGCTATCGAAATCCTGGTTTCCTATTGGTGTTTCACTTTCAACAAGCGCTTTTGCCTTGCAGGTGTATCTGCCATTTTAACTCATTTCCCATAATTAAAAATAAAAGGCCAGCCAGGTTGGCCTAGTGGTCAGCGGGTCTGACTCTAGGTCAATAGGTCCCGGGTTCGAATTCCGGTGGTGGCGTCTAATTTTCTCGGAATTGACGAGTAGATCTGCTGAAACAGATTCTCATCGACCCTAATCCCTGAAAATTGGAAAAACCTGGAGCATGGAGATCCCACGATATCTACGGACACTAAACATTGTCTAAAGTTGGCTGAAGGTGCTCGACACGAAGAGATTAAAGCAGCAGAAAAAAAAAATAATAAAAATAAATGGGTACCTTGAAACGGAGTGTAGATATTCAAGTACAAGCAGTCCTCGCTCTGATTCTTGAGGTAGGGCAGCAGCTTGGAGAAATAGTTGTAGCGGCCCTTGGACATCTTACTGCGGGCGTTATCGCTGACGTCGGGTAGCACTTGGGGGCAGACGGGGCTGAGGGTGTCAGCGGTCATGAGCCCGGGCCAGGGGGGCGGCGAGCCGGGGGGCATGAACCGCTGGGAGCCCACGGGGGCCGCCGCGTAGGGGATCCCCAGGAACACCTCGACGCTCTGCAGGTTGTTGTTGTTCTTGAAGTGGACGATCTTTCCGCGGAGGAGCCCCTGCTTGATCCGCACTATCCGCGTCCGCGTGTCCTTGGGCGAGTCGTTGTCGTTGACCAGGCCGTCGGAGCCGTGTCCCGGGTTGTGGAAGGTCGTCCTCGAAGGGAATCCCCAGGATGTGCTCGCCTGCAGCAGAAGCAGCGTTGTCAGCAGTTGGGCCAGTGGTGAGCGCATTCTGTGCTCGCTCGCCGCGCAGGCTTTTAGGAACTTACACCGTTTCGATGAAGGGTCAACCTGGAATCACACGACAGAGGTTCATGTTATTTTTTGGTTTACGACATAAATTGAATCAGTGAGAACGAAAATATACCAACTCGGTATCTCGAAAATGCTCAATTTTCATTAAAGACAATCAAATTTCATGGAGTTCATGGAAGTTAGCGCATCTGTTCCAATTTGGACCTTTAAAAAGTCCGTAGGTACATGTCGTCCGGCACCAAAAATGTTTTTCTTACACTAACTTCTTCACGTACTGTGCAATTTTGTGTGTGTCTTGATTATTTTCATTTTTGCAAGTTGGTGTGTTTTTGTTCTAACAGATTCAATTGGACATAGTCCTGCTAAAAGGAACTAGAGACGGATGGAAAATATGCACTGGAAAAAAAGTTGCGGGCTTCATAGACATACCGTCCGTTCCGGGGTCACGATTTCTCTATTTAAAAATTAAATAGCGGCGGAAATTTTTAAACAACACTTGTGATACTTTGGCTGGAAGGTGACGATTTAAGAGCCTGCAATGAGTTGCCACAGCAAGAAGTAAAAATGTAAAAGGGGAGATTCTACAAACAAACAATTCAACAAACTTCCGGGCGGATAAAGACTTGCCTTTAAATTGTCTTACACTGAAAAAAGGTTACAAGCTATGTAGATATACCGTCCGTTCTGGGATCAGAGGCCGAAAGTTCCGGGTGCTGGAGCCGTAGCTTCGATAGCTCAGGGTGCTACGTCCGGAACTTTCAGCCTCCGAGCCCGGAACGCGGACGGTACAGGGCCGGATTTAGAGGATGGCCCTATGGGCCGCGGCCCATGGCGGCAAATTTTGAAATTTTTTTAAATATAGCTATAAAGATAAATCGGATTCAGAGAAAAAATTACAAACGGAAAAAGGTGACAAAATCTCTCATTTCCCGAGAGTATATCTCTACGTGTGTCGTCTTCCTGTGATAGAATAGACAGCACCTTTAATTAGTCGAGTTAAGACTAAGAAAGAAACCGAACACGGAATTTGGCCTGGAACGGCGCGGCGCAGAGAACAATGATGACGAGAACTTGAGATAAACAGGAGAAACCTACGGCGCGGCGCGGCGGTCGGCACGTAACACATATTGGCGCCTACAAGACTGCAAGAATACTTCACGCATTGCGTCAAAGATAATGCGGTCGCTGCGGTCAGCAGCGGCCGGCGTGAAACGCATAGCGCCTACAAGATTGCATGAATACTTCACGCATTGCGTCAAAGACAGTGTGTGCAGCAGCGGTCGGCTTGAAACGCATAGCGCATACAAGACTGTAGGAATCCCTCACGCATTGCGCCAAACACGGTGCAATCAGCAGGGCGCGGCGGCGGAAGTTAAGCACATTTATGTTTGTGCTTTCGTAATATTTTCGTTCACTTCTTGTAAATCGAAGGCCTTGTCCACACAGAGATAGGTTTACGGAACTTAACTTTCGCGCCAAGTTACGTGAATTTTTGCTAGAAGTGTTGACAGGGCTTTCGCAAAAAATGTGTCCAACACGAGTAAACGCGTCTTATGCACCCCTGTCCCTCCGGCACTTTCACTTGATGGTTTTTATTGATGCTTCAAAACGATTGAGAAGGGGGCGACAAAATATAGGCGGCCCATGGGCGCAAGCAAGTTAATCCGGCCCTGGGACGGTATGTGTATATTGCCCGTAAATACGGCTTCCACGGCCGGAGTTTTTTTTAGGCGTGGGGTGTGCTCGTGGAAGCTGCATAAGAGACAATGTAAAAAACGACGTGATCCTCTTGTGGAAATGGAAAAGTGAGATTTTACGAGAAATCGAACGGAACTAAACGCCAAAATATGTGGCACTCATGAGCCGTGGGTATGTGCCAACAGCGTTTTGGATAGGGCTCGTGAGTCAAAGAGCGAGAGTGAAAGAGTGAGAGAAAGTAGAAATATCAAAGCATCGAATCGAATATGCAGTTCGAGTTCAACAAGCTTTCTTTCTCCTTCTTTCCCCGGTTCTTTCCTTCCGGATCATACTCGATACACCAAACAAGTGAGATTGCATCGATATTAATTAGTCCTACGTGTAAACATAGCCTCAAAAATCAATTGACTAATGTGAGGGAACGGGTTTTTTGTTATAGATTTTTTCTTCTTATGACTGTAAAATGACAATGAAAAGTGATTTTGTATGGAATTTCTTCATTCTCAGCTTTTCCAACTTAAATCCAAAAATTTTTGTCTGAGGTTATGTTCTATTGTTTTGAGCAAACGATATATCGAACCACTATCAAATACGATCCACATTAAAGGGAAGCGAGAAAAAATCTCTTAAAAATAACGAATTCATAATAGTGACGAAGCATTCATCTCTTACGCGTTTCTTAGCATCAATTTCAGCGTGAAGCGGAAAGGAAGTCAACACTCCGATGATTGAAAGCGAGAGTCCTTTCCCTGGACGATAATGAGCGGAAAACAAATGATACTGAGTTAAGCTTTTAGACGAACCATGTCGGCCCGTATTCATTAAAATACTTTTAAGTCGTCCACTATCAAATTAATCAATTTAATCAATCATAATTATAATCAATTAATATTATCAATCAATTAAGAACCACTATCAAATACGATCCATATCAAAGGGTGGGGAGAAAAAATCTCTTAAAAATAACGAATTCAAAATGGCGACGAAGCAATCATTTCTTGTGCGTTTCTCAGCATCAATTTCAGCGTGAAGCGGAGAGGAAGTCAACACTCCGATGATTGAAAGCGAGAGTCCTTTCCCTGGACGATAATGGGCGGAAAACAAATGATACTGAGATAAGCTTTTAGACGAACCATGTCGGCCCGTATTCATTAAAATACTTTTAAGTCGTCAAGTAACGCCTAACAACGCCCCATTAATTTCTACACCTTTCTCCGCTTTATTTTTAGCGACAGGAGCCGGGGTCCGCCCACGAGGACCCCAGCCCGGGTCCGTTGATGTTTGATTTTTTCACGCTCGTTTCAGCGGAGTTCGTTAGTTTTGTCCAATTTTCACAGCCGATTTTGACTGCACCTCTAGAATAGCCTCCTTTTGGAAATAGGATTATTTTCAGATTCCCTAATTTTGAACTTTTTTAACAGTCACAATGGGCTGATTCAGATACTTCAAACGGGATACTGAAAAAAAAAAATGTGCTCGGCTCGAGCGTGATGATTCTTGAATTTGCCACCAAGAATTTTTTAACTTGTTTTAAGCTGAATTTTTCTTGATAAAAGGAAAATAAGGCTTGGGTTAAGCAAAAAAGTAGTTGATTTTAAGCAGCAAAATTCTTGATTTAAGAAAAAATATTTCTTGGCGACAAATTTAAGATTCTTTTTTTTCAGTGGACGGCGGAAGGGTGGGTGGAGAGCTTACATCAGAAAATTTTGCAATTTTGAGTTACATAGTACACGAAAAAAAAAAAGTTAGGTAGCATTTACCATACTCTGGTAAAAAACGGCAAAATCAGACAGTATGGTAACTTCCACCAAATTTATTGTCACAATAAGGAAAAATTTTGTTACTTTTACGATAATTTTGATGAATGTTACCATACCCTCTGGTTGTGCCGTTTACTAACCAGAATATGGTAAATGCTGCTTAATTTTTTTTCCGTGATAATACGCTCAAGATTTTCCGGGTAAAAATACAATTTACGAGGGGGAATCTGGCAAAATTCAAATGTAGTTAAGTTCCTTCGAGAGGAGAGCGACAATTTGGACGAAATGAAACCATCCAATGAAATTTGACAATGGCTGATGTGACTTGGTTCCTCTCTGCTTAATGCAATTGAAATAACGGTTCCTTTTTGCGAAGTGCAGTCAAATTTACCGTAACTTCCCTGAACTCTTTGATAAAGCTTACGGTGTGGGTCAGCAACGTCCATCAATGCATTTCAGTTAGTGTAATGAATAAGTGCTCGATGCTGGACTCTAATCGTGGAAACATAAATCGGCGCCAATAAAAAGTTGTGACGTCATGGCACAAATTTTCTTTGCCAAACCGAGCGTTACGCGTTAGTTCCGCATACCGTTGTCGTTCCAGCAAATTGCCGGTTTCACACTTCATAATTTAAATAACACCCGCACGTGCATGAGTCAAGGAAGAATAGAAACTTTTCACTGGAAATTCGTCTTACTACCAACGAAAGTGTTTGATGAACTGAGCTCACGGTGATTTCTACAATTTTTTGCTGGCACGGCCAACAGAAAGCAAATGGATTTAAAAAGGGGTTATACAATTGGACGGAGTTAAACAGAAAGGAACCAAGCCACATCGGGATCGAACCGAGAAAAGGAGGTTTAAAGTTTGGCTCCTGCATAAGACTCAATGTAAACGATAAACTTCAAGTTCAATTTCTGCAAAATTTGCTCGAACAAAAACTTTGAATTTTTGGTGATAGATAGTAAAGCAGTGGTTGAGTTCAAAACCACTCATAATTCAATTTTTTCCAAAATGTGGGTTGGTTCCTTTCTATGCTTAACTCAGTCCAATTAACCGTCTCGCGACGTCATAGGCCGGTATTTTCCATTTAATAAAAATTAATCTAGTAGATTTGATCATCGTGAACTTGGTACCCCGAAGGTCTGTGGTTAGATAGGGGTTAGTATCGTAGAGCTCCAGAAAGTCCCATGGGGTGACAATATATGATCATTCTACCATAAATCTTCTGGTAATTATTGTTATTTTTAAAAACCAAGGATATTACCGCGCTTACTTCATTCAATAGTTTCCACACATGAAAAAACTTATACAGGGTGATCCAAAAGTCCCTTCCACCCTCTCTAACTTTTTACCTAATTGAGGTAAAGATTCGAAACTTGGGGGATATTCCTAGGTCAAGGGGAGCTACTTTTTGGCCTCCCTAAAATTTTCAGGGGGGCCCCCCTTGGGGGGGCAACGGCCCCCAACTTTAAATTTTCAAATGGGAAGACCCCCTTTGTGATAGCTCGTTCGAAAGAGCATAAAAAAAGAAAACTTTTCGCGCAAACTCGAAGTCAATATCTCAAACTGTTTCA